CATGGTTATACTCTCACTTGACATTACAATAGATCATTAGTTGATAATATCCCGACAGGATCCAAAGGTGGGCCTTAAACCTGACAGGTTTTAATGGAAAGCACTTTAATCATTGCCTATGACATTGTCATCAGTCAACAGGTAAGTAAACGTTTCAACCGTGTCTATGAATATCTAGGTGACAATGACAATAGACATGGTAAATCGGGAAAGAAACCCCTCTTCTACACGCCCCGCCCCCACTTCCTCCCAGACCTCCTGTCAGGTTAATTACCCTTCCAATCCAGGGGTCTAGTGCAGAAAGCCGAGAAGGGAGGCTAAACACAGCGTACATTGACATGAAATGTGCTGTTCATACCATGGAGAAAATAAAATAGTTAAATAAAAAAAAGTTAAATAGTTAAAATAAAATAATTTTCTCCATGTTCATACACTCACCGCTACTGACTGATTTGATTGTGTGGTTTACATAAAAATAGATTCGATATTTCAGGAATGTCGGCTACACACGGTCTACCCAGCCAGCCGTCCTACATTTTATGTACAGGTACAGTAATTAATCTGATCTAATACTGTATATTACGTACCTAGGCCTATGTGGTTGGCCTAGGTAGATGTGGTGTAGAGTACGAAAAGGTAAAATTCATATGCAAGGAAGTTAATCCTCGAGCGCTAGAGCAATGCTGAAAAGCTACCGTCTTAATGGAAAAATTTGCATGCGGACCTTGTCATGTATCTAACAGCAACGTACTCGTCATCAACCACACCATGTGCGGCAACACGAAATGTGCTGTACACTCATCGCTACTGACTGATTTGAATGGTGTGGTTTAATACACATAAAAGCAACTTGTAGACTACATTTCCTGATCTACTAGGCCTACACACACGTACCCAGGTGCTAAACACAGTGATAATTTCAATGTGTGGTTTAATACACATAAGTAACTTTTGATAGTTTGAGGACGTCATAGGCCTATCTTGTGATAGTAGTTTGGGGACATTAAATGATTTTAATGATTATTAAACCTATTAATAATTATCATTAGATCTATTATGGCTTACAGTCACACGTACCCAGCCAGCCCATTTATGGTTCATCCACGTCTAGGCCAGCCATAATGGGTCCTACTAAATACCACACGGGACCACTCGCGACCACACGGAACCACTCGCGACCACACGGGTGCAAAAATGATAAAAATATTACCACACGAGAGTAGAAAACTACTTAATATCAATAGAAACCAACTTTTAGTACGGTAATTATCCGAATTCCGTTAAAAATCGATGTACTGTATCTTGATTTTGATTTGTTGGTTTTTCCCGTCGTGTCTCGGTAATGTAATGCGTTAATTGTGGATCTGTAACACATTGACGTGTCAGCTGAAACGCATTCAACCATGACCTTCATGTCTGTGTTTCATACCATCAATCAAGATAGGCCGTTATATACTGCCACGTGATTAGATATTTACTCGCAAATTAATTATTATTATTATTGCTGTGCGAATATACTCATTTGAGGTTTATGCATATGAACATTATAGGACGATTATTATTATTATTATTAGTAGTAGTAGTAGTAGTTGTAGTAGTATTATCATCATTGTATTATATTATTATTATTATTATTATTATTATTATGTCTATATACTGTCACTGTTGGCCTAAATTCAGTATTCCTAAATTCATGTACAGTATATTGTATAAGTAATCTCTGCTAATTAGCATGCATCAGCTCTGTACAGCTACGGTATATAAACCATTTGTTATTTTATAAAGTATATTTATTGCAGGGACGACCGAGATATTCGTTTAGTAATAAACGTATTAATGTCACTAATGTTAACCTTTGTTATTTTTTCTTAAACGATGTGTTGTGCTCTTATTTATCTATCATTTATATCCATTACTAATATTGAAACACAAAAAGCGGTACTTACTGCCATTTATTTATTTATTTTCATAGAAAATATCTCAAAATACCATCTTTAAAAACATTATTCATAAGAAGTTAACTAGATTTGTCTCTGGGCTAAAAATCAAAAACACATAAGTATAAAAAATACAAAGCAGATACAGTAATAAATACAGTTATTGTAGAATAATAGGCCTATACATACAATAGGCATACACGCAGGATGAAATGTAACGTACTGTACGTATTGAATGTTAGAGGTCAAGTTTGAACGCATTTCTGGAGACGTGAATGCGTTACAGAATCTCAATGTCACCGCATTACCTTCCGAAGCACGGCGGAAAAACCTGTAACAAAAAAAAATCATTTTTACCATATTTTGGATAATTACCGTACTAAAAGTTGGTTTCTATTGATTATTAAGTAGTTTTCTACTCTCGTGTGGTAATATTTTTATCATTTTTGGACCCGTGTGGTCGCGAGTGGTCCCGTGTGGTCGCGAGTGGTTCCGTGTGGTATTTAGTAGGACCGGCCATAATTACACTACATTGACACGAAATGTGCTGTATACACTCACCCCTACCAATGATTTAAATATGTGATTTAATACACATAAAAACAACTTGTAGCCTACATTTCATATAATATCTCATCAACTACACACCTACCCAGCCAGCCTATAGTTCGTCATCGTCTAGACGTGATTTGAATATATGTTAACACTACGATGGGTTTCACATGAAAGCGTGTTCGTCATTGATCAGACTGCAAATCGCCTGATTCCACATTGTGTTTATCAACCAATCACGGCCAGGAATGGTAAGCTTTGCGGCTAATAAATGCGTCTGCACGAGTCTAGTTGGCAGCGAAGAATAAGCCGTTTTGTGGTGCTTGCAAGGGTGGGTGGTCTCTCCCCTGAGAGATAAACAATGTACACTACTGTAATGCAGGCTGGCCTAGAGCTAGAGGAAGACGAACTAGGCCTATAGGCTGGCTGGGTAGTACGTGTGTGTAATAGATTTTTCCATTGAGACGGTAGTTTTTCAGCATTGCTCTAGGAGGATTGACTTCCTTACATATGAATTTTTAGCTTTTCGTACTGAGTACACTTGGCTCTCCTAGGCCAACCACATAGAGTACGTTACATAAAATGTAGGCCGACAGTCGTTTTTAATTGGGGTGGTCGAGTGTATTTCTTTTTTTACGATAGACCATGGCTATTGTCATCGTCACCTAGACTTGAAAAAACAATGTACCTGTACTGTAGGCTGGCCTAGACGAAGACGAACTATAGGCTGGCTGGGTAGGTGTGTAGTTAATCAGATATTACATGAAATATAGGCTACAAGTTGCTTTTATGTGTATTAAAACATATATTCAAATCACGTCTAGACGAAGACAAACTACTGTATAGGCTGGCTGGGTAGGTGTGTAGTTGATCAGATATTACATGAAATGTAGGCTACAAGTTGCTTTTATGTGTATTAAGAAATATGATTAAAAAAACATACTTTTCACATATTTCCCGACAATATTTTTGCAAAAACTCTTCATACTTTAAATTCCCCACGCTCTATCTTCCATATTATTGCAAGATCGGCCTAATCGTGTCAGAAACGAAGCAAGAGATAGAAAAACAAACGACTTCAAAATTCGCTCAGAATCATCATATAATATGCCCTCTCTCTGAGAGTGGTCTAAAAATGCAGAAATGAAATTACCAATGCTGAGTAGTTGTTTTTAGATTTATATTTTCATATTCTCAATAGTGTATGAATTATTGAGCGATAATATGCACTAAAAATAAGCATTATGGTGACACTGTTAAATAATTAGCTAGCACTCTGGTTGACTGATAAAGAAAAGAGCTGTCAGTGTAAGGATTGGATCATATTCCTATTTCCCCCCATTCACACGACGTTTCAGCTCGTTTTTGAACCGTTCGTTCCATGTTCGCAGTACAACAATCTCGTTTGAAATTGACCTTACCCAGTCATATTTTTGAATGGGTAGAACGGGTCGACTTCCGTCCTTGCCTGTTTACCTTTCGTACTAAGATTGTATTCAGTGTCTACTGCGTCCATTCTGTTCATATTCCATTCATCCCCGTGCCACCCCGTTCTCCAGAACGTAGTGCGAACTAGTTCAGTGTAAAGGGGGTATAATAATAATAATGTCATCTTAATAGGCGCATGTATCTCTTCCCCTGAGAAACTTGGTAGAGCTGCTCGCGGCGCTGTTATGTATTACATTCATATTTTAAAAAAACCAGTTTCATAAAGGATTGCTCCATGTTAAACTGTACTTAATCATAATCGTCATAATCAACAATCGGTCATAATATTGCAGTTCCTAATACTAAAGTGTCAATTACATGATATTGAAACTTCAAAATATTTCCCATAAATATAGCATAAACATCTAACTAGAGGAAGAAATAGATGTTCTTTCCTGGATAACAAAAAAAAAGGAGGGAAATGAACAGTTAAATACAGTGACTTTAGATAGGGAGAGATGGTGGGATTGGTTGCCATGAACCTGCAGAGGATGATGATCCCTGATAATATAGCCACTCTGTAAATGTAAACAAATGCATAAACTGTATATTACAGCATATAACCAACAGTATCTTATGAATTACTGTCCTATAAACTCATCATAATGTGTCAAACTTCCCAGATCCTTAATTACAGTATAATAATAATTAACATATCATTGGCATATATACTAATAAACTTAAACTCATTTCATGCTAATCACATCAGTATACATTCTAAATAAAATGGAGGCAATAAAACAGTAACATTACTTAAAATGCTATCAAAGGGAATGTGAAATAAGATAACATATATTGTCCAGTAAAACAACTGGAAATTCTTTTTTCTCTGGCAATACAAAGACAAAATGTTATTTAAAAAAATGTGTAGAAGGTCATGCTGATATTTGAAATCAATTGAAAAATGCATCTTGTATTTAATATAATAAAAGGTGGCAATATACATATGATCTGCACACAGTGACTATTTAATAGTGATTTGCATTACTAAATATATTCCTACAATAAATTATATATTAACAGGACAAGTGGTCGGTGCTGATGATGTCCAGCCACCGTGCTATGAAGCTGAAGATTTCAGAAGAGGACGATGAATTTTCTGAAGATTTTGCAGAAGGAACTCAGGTGAGACATCCCTGGTGTTGAAGGGAAAGTATACTGTATCATTCATGATGCAACTCTCATAAATGTGGCCTTAAATTGTATATCTGATGATATATTTTCTTGTCATTAAGACCCTAAAGCTAGACACTCGCTTCGTCGTACGAAAAATCCAGCTCCACTATTTAGTGATTGTCTGTGGCAGTCTGAACAGATTGCCATTATAGACGATCTGTTGTGTGCATGTCGTAGCGTTGCCACAGTAAGTGCCTGGATTTATTTGTCCCCTGGTAGGTTAAAGAATGTGCAAGGCCCAGGTCAAATTGCCCCTATTCGTTTAAATGAAATAGAATATTTTAAAAAATAATTGATTTACTTGATTTTGCTTGTCTTTCAGTTCCATGCTGACTTGTACCACATGGTATGTGACCTGTCAACAGATCCAGGCCTGGAAAAGATGAGGCAATCGGATTTCATGTTTATTGATGCTGTTAGTCAGTTACTGAAAGCCACTAAGTTACTGACATATGCCTAGTACTTAAAATTGAACCCAATCTCCCAAAAAAATTCAGTCAATGCTGCATCTACCATTCCACACTTCTTACATTCCAAAATCCCTATCTTAATTAATATGTTAATTTGTGGAGCAATTGTAATACTCAGTGGTAAGTTTTTAAGGACTTTAACCTTTTAATTAATGAGTAATTGTTTTTTAACTAAACTAAATTTATCCGTCTATGTTTTCCATGCCAGAGGTTTCACCTTGAATACATTTATTTATATAAAAGATTCATTTGTTTGAATAATTACACTATATTCCTTAAAAAACAATTCTTTAATAGTTTGAATATATTTGCTGTGTACAATAAAAGTGATTCTAAATATTGAAATAAAGGCTCTGTAATTATGTATGCAGGGGTCCCAAGTTGGAAGAACCTATTTCCAGGAGATTCGTTTTAATGACATTGGGGCGCTGTATATTCTATGAGGAAAAAATATAGGTACCAAACGAGGGGCCAGGCCCACCATGATTGGGGCTGAAGTAATGACATTTTTTTAGAATAAGTACCTTTAGAATTCGGAAATGGCACTGTCAGACTGCGAAAAATAATCGGCAACCAAAGTTTATTCCTAAATACATGTAAAAGATTTGTGCATTTCCAGGAGATTTTTGCTTGTTTGCAGGCGTGCGGGAGACCATACCAATTTCCGGGGGACCCCTGTGTATGCAAGGCCAAATATATTACCATCATCATCCTAAAGCAATAAAAAATTAATCAAAATAATGAACTATAAGGCTGTGATTGTGTATGCAAGGCCAAATATATATTACCATCATCATCCTAAAGCAATAAAAAATTAATCAAAATAATGAACTATAAGGCTGTGGTTGTGTGTTATCAGCTATACAGCTATATACATGCTACATCCACTTCAACTAAGTCTGTTTCAGCGGCACATAGCCTGGGTCAAAACAATTGAGGCATAGATAGTCTGCCCATGTTGTCATACATAAGTTACGAGCAGTTTAAGCCAAAGTCATCGTAGTAGTCGTCTTTTAAAACGTAACTCAAAAGAATAATTAAAACATATGCTGCTGGTCACACTTCGATTTAATTAATATTCCACACTAGCATATTTTACAATTTAACAAGTAATAATAAAGGCAATATAGCAATAACAATAAAAAAACAAAAAACAAAGAATACTTATATTTATTGAGTGTCCAGACATCAGAAATTGAGTCCTCCTGCGTTTTTCTTGTGCACACAAGAACAGAAGACAATAGCGTGATCCACACAGGATAGTTAAATTTGCTGGTCCACACAGGACAAATAATCAGGCAGTCCACACAGCTGCTGACCCCCCCCCCCCCAAAAAAAAAAGGAGAGGGAGAAAGAGGGAGAGAGAGAGAGAGAAGAAAGAAAAAAGAGAAAAGATCATATCTAGGCTTATTTATTACTACAGTACTTCAGTTGGTGTTGGTTTTTGTTGATTACGCTGGCGTGCACCAACAAGGCTCGTGGTGAACATGTGGTCACTAAATGATAGAATAAAAGTAATATCTTTTGGTACAGGCCCATAGGCAGGGGGTACAGAGAGTGCGGATGCACCCACCCAAATTCCCAACCCAACAGGTCTACTTTTTAAAACCTATGATTTCACAAAATCGTTCCTAATTATCACAAAATTCTATAGCATGCATTGCATTATATATTTGCCAGCTTATCTAACCGTTGATTTTTAATAAACAGGTATGAAATTTGTTAGAAATTGATCGTCTCCGGTGATTGCAGATTGATCTATATATAATATAATAATATGAAGAATGTTATCTATAGGCCTCATGGGCGGCGGAAGCGGGGGGGCCCGGGCCCCCCACTTTTTGGCGAAAAATATATAATGTCTGGAGAATTTTGTATGATCGGAAATGAAAAAAAAAGGAGAGAAGAAGGAGAAGGATGGGAAAGAGAATGTACCCGACCGAGTTACATTTTCTCGCAATTCACATTGGCGGATCTGGGAGGAGGGGATATATCGATCATGGGTCCTAACTCCTCCCTTGTGCAACAAAAAAAAGGGTAAAAAGAAAAGGATTCTAGACCTACCTTTTCAGGACTTGTGAGCTGACCACCCTTTCTTTTTGGGATTTATCGATTCATGGAAAAAAGAATACGCATGCAACTACTCATTTGTTTATGTATGTATACACACATAAAATAAAAAATGAGAAAAATTTACCTGACCTGGGTGGGGGGGGGGGAAAACTTTGAATTTTGAAGAATTTAAAAGTGATTTAAATACACCACAGAAGTCGGGGAAAGCTCATTTCCCGCCACCTAGGAATCAAAATTTTCCCGGGGAAGAACCATAGGACCTCCCCACCCCCACCTTTCTTTTTGGGATTTATCGATTCATGGAAAAACTACGTATACACACATAAGGCCTATTTACTGCAATAACAAAGGGAAAAAAATTATCTGACCGTTTTCAAAAGTGGAAAACCTTGAATTTTGAAGAACTTAATTACTTTTAAGTTCTTCAAAGTTCAAGGTGTTCCCCTCTTGAAAATTATTATAATGAATCAATGAACCCAGGGAAAGGGATGTTCGAGTTCTTCCCGGGAAAATGTTGATTTCTAAATGGTGAACAATGAGATTTCCCGACTTCTGAAGTATTTTTTAATGACTTTAATTTAAAAGACACCTCAGAAGTCGGGAAAGCTCATTTCCCGCCTTGTAGGAATCAAAATTTTCCTGGGGAAGAACCCCCGGACCCCTTTTCTTTTTGGGATTCATCGATTCATGGAAAATTCGTATGCAACTACTCATTTTTTTTTTATTGTTATGTATGTATACACACATAAGCCCTATTTACTGTAATAACAATGGGAAAAAATTACCAGACCGTTTTCAAGATGGGAAAACCATGAATTTTGATTAAAAGACACATTAAAAGTAATTAAAAGACACCTCAAAAGTCGGGAAAGCTCATTTCCCGCCATCTAGAAATCGAAATTTTCCCTGGGGAGGAATGTTGACCCCACCACCTAGATTTGATTCCAGATCTGCATGATTCATATTCCCATTCATCTTATAAACAGTGGCGTAACAGGCGGGGCAGGGGCAGGGGCAGACTGTTCCCCACCCCCCACTGACGGTTTTTACCGGGCTGACCAAGCTGTCGTACCGGGCTGGGTAAGAAGAGAAAAGAAAGAGGGGAGAGGGAGGGAAAGAGAAAGAAGGGGAAAGAAAGAGAAAGAATAAGGAAAAGAGAAGAGAAAAGTAAAGACAAGAATAAAAAGGAAGATATAATGAACAGATATCACAACACCCCTGCCTGCAACCCATTCTCCATTTCAAAAAGTGTCCATAGTGCAGTTGATCTAAGCCGCCAGGTATTCTCCGCAGTGGCCTAATAACCAGGGGACAAGGAGAAAATATCCATCTGTGGAAAGTCTTTCCCCATTGAATGCCATTTTCACCCGGGAAGGTGCCTGAAAATCTCAAATTTTAAATCGCATATTTTGTTGAGGTAGGCAAATTTCCTCTAAAAATTGCACATTTTAGGGAGTTCTGATCAATTCCGACGAAAGTAGAATTTAAAAAACAAAACTTTTTCGCGCGCTTCGCGCGCATTTTTTTTTTATGTTATAGCTTGTGCTTGCTCCCCTTTGCCTTCTAAGTTATAACACATAGTCCCAAACTCAAGAAAGAAAATTTAAGATAGATCGTTTTACCTATTAAAGAAGGGCCTCAGTGTGTAATGATGTTGAAAGAATATGTTTGTAATAAATAAAGCCATAAGGAAAATGCTTATATTCAGTTTAACGAGTGTGGCCATATATAACATAAGAGCATTTCTTGTTGAGGTAGGCCAATTTCCTCTAAAAATTGCACAATTAAGGAGTTTTGATCAATTCCGACGAAATTAGAATTAAAAACACAAAAATTTGTTAGGGTTAAAGCTTGTGCTTGCCCTCCTTTGCT